GTCCATGCTGTCTTAGTACAGGTAAAGGAGCACGAATTAATTCGTTTTCTGCAGCTTACTTCTCAGTTTAAAACCATATCAACGTCCTTCCAGCGACAGTGCTATCGTAGTTCTATGACACGCTATGATTTCCTTTGCAGGTTTGATGGATCGTTGATCTTTTAGACGTCGTATGCGTTTACGTTACTTTTTTCATGTCAGTTTAACAGCTTTGAAATCTCTCACAGTCATTGATCCCTCTGTCCGTACCTGCCCATGTACTAACATGCATTAGAAAGCAACACCTTCAAAGGTGTTTGCCTGCAGGTGTTTTGGCAACTCTTGTAGCTGGTCGGTAGGACTCATCCTGCACAACCCACTTAGTTGTGGTCTTTATTAGTAGACCATGTTTTGGTATGTGGACGAGATTGGAACTTCAGTTTCTGACTGCGTTTTGTTCGGTGGTCAGCGCTGGATAAAAGAAATTAGACTAGTGCCAGGACTCTGCCTTGAGACTGACGCTAAATTTGACTGGTCATGCTTTCTCGGGGAGATGTGCAAGGTTATTTTAGCCAGACGACATCCTATATGGACGGACTTGTGGGTGCCTTTCAATGTGCTTAGGGCTAACAACGGCACCCAACCTTATTTTAGGCAGTCAACCCACATCTCGCGTTGAGAACGGGCTACCACCACTACACTGGCTTATTGAAGGTGGATAGTTCAATTGGGACCCGAGAAACCACTTGCCTCTGCAACGCTGAGCATTCACTTATAGAGACGTGAACGAAACTCCTCCATCCCCCTACAAGGCATCCTCCCTGTCCTATTGCCTAGCGCATAGGATAAGTATAAGAAAAGTAGTTGATATTTTGCAGTCTCAGAAGGTCGCTCTGTGTTACTATGTGAACCAGTAAGTACGTGCATGTGTAGGTTTGGCATGTTTATTTAGCAAATTATCCTTTTCCCGTTGTTTCTTTCTTGTAGGTATTCTAGGGCCAATCATGTACAATGAACTCGTTCCAGCAATAAGTTCAGCACGAGTTCCCATCCAAGC